GCTGCCCCTCTACTCCCTGCAGCCCCAAGGCCGGGCCTTGATTGGCCTTGTGGTAAATCCGGCCCTCTCTGTGCCTTGGTTGGGAAATGCACTTTAAGGCCCCATTCACATCGGGGTGGTCCTGCCACGAGGATTTGGCTGCACGGATCCGTCAACATGAACGATCCCATACAATGCTATGGGGACCGTCCATGCAACTGCGCAAGCCGAACCGCCTCCTGCCAGAATTGCTCCCTGACCCTTTTTTGCCGCGCGGTTGGTTTCCATACTGCTTTCAATGGAACCGCACTGTTCTGGGCGTTATTAATTGCATTTCAGCGCTGAAACGCAATTAAAAACACCCAAAACAGCCCTTTTAAAATCCGCACAGAAACCACGCTGATCCGCAAGCGCCCTGGTGTGAATGGGGCCTGAGTCAGAAGTCCTTCTCTGCACACTCTATATACTACTAAGCCCCCTCTCCCTCCTTATCTTTACCTCCAGCAGCTGTGCTCCACTTCTGCTGGGTTAAAGAAAGCCCAGTCAATGTAAAAAAAAACCTTCCTGCATGCATGTGCTCAGGAAGGTACCAAGTGCACAGAGGTGGGGGGTATGCGACCTTAAAAACTACACTACACTGCACATTAAACTAAAAGAAAAAAAAATCTTGTTTGGAGCCCAGGCCTCCCCGGCCGCCTGGGCCCCTCACACAAGTAGCGGCTGTACCCCCCTGATGGCGGTCCTGGCCGGGGACTCAGATCGCGACCCACACTTTAAGAAGCACTGCTCTAGGTAACCGACTCAGGTGATTGAAGTCAGGGAGTCAACATTGCAGCCAGGTAACCGGTCTTTTCCCAGTGATGGGTCAGCAATTGAAGCCTCCAGGTTTTCTACTACAGGGTTTCCTGTAAATGCTGGCAGCGTACCGGCCGTCTATTACCAGGGCGTTTTCTTTCATCATAGAAGTATGTGTCCTTTTAGCTAATAAGGTGTTTGCAAAGAAACAAACAGTATTGGTGGGTACTAATGAGACCAAATTACTATCAGCTCGCAGCTGTTTGGTGAATTCTTCCTTTGATTGTTAGAATTACCGCTGTGGTGGTTTAAAACAAAGCCCCGAGGAGGTCTGATAGATGTGCAGGACCTTGAAAATATCACAAAGACAATGTTATATGTGCTTAAAGCTTGAACTGAGAGAGCAGGTAGAGATATCATATCCACATTTAATATAGTTTGCATTCTTTAATAAATACCTAAAGAGGACCTCTCCCCCCCTTCCCCCCTTCCCCCAATAAACCTGACTTCCTGAATACAGTCCACTAACTAAAACGAAGTAGTAGTGCTTACCTGCCTCCTGTTGCCTCTTCCTCGAGGAGAAGGAAGAAACATGCCGCTGATGACATCATGTCCCCCATCTGACCATATTCTACTTGTTGGGGGAAAAAAACAAAACTTTCTCATGAGATCTCCAGAGGAAAGGATTTTTTTTCCCAAGTGAAAAATGTTATGCGGTGCAGCGCACGTGCCAGATTGGGTGCATACTGGTATGTGCCTCATCTTGTGCATGCACCATACCACATTACAATCATCTGTACAAACAAAAAAGCATTGTCTTTCCCCGAGATCTCACAGTTAGGATGTCGCCTTCCCAGGGGGTATTTCTGAAGCCCTGGCTACATCACCAGTGCCTAAGAAGACCAGGAAGTGGAAATCCAGTAAAGGTATCTTATAGAAAAAGTATTCCGTTTTTTCTATCACTAAGGCTTTTTCTTTCCCTGAGATCTCACAGTTGGGACTTGAGATCTTCCTGGAAGGCACTGGTGTCGTAATCTTCCCATGGGCCATTTCTGAGGCCCTGGCTATGTCATCAGTGCCTAAAAAGACAAGGAAGTGGGAAAACAGTAAAAATAAGTAATAAGTATTGATTTTTTTTCTACCACTAAGGCTTTTTCCTTTCCCCGAGATCTCACAGTTAGGACTTGAGATCTCCCTGGAGGGCACTGATGATGTTGTCTTCTCAGAGGCCATTTCTGAGAACCCAGCTACATCACCAGTGCTTAGGAAGATCAGGAAGTGGGAACCCAGTAAGGGTAAGTAATAGAAAAATGATTCCATTTTTTTTTCTATCACTAAGGCTTTTTTCTTTACCTGAGATCTCACAGTTAGGACTTGAGATCTCCCTGGAAGGCACTGATGATGTTGTCTTCTCAGAGGCCATTTCTGAGACCCTGGCTACATCACCAGTGCTTAGGAAGATCAGGTAGTTGGAACCCAGTAAAGGTAAGTAATAGATAAACAATAAAAAAATTATATCACTAAGGATTTTTCTTTTGCAGAGATCTTTCAATTAGGGGCTGAGATCTCTTTGAAAGGCACTGGTGATGTAGTGTTATCAGGGAGCATTTTTGAGGCCCCAGTAACATTACTAGTGCCTAAGAAGACCAGGAAGTGGGCGCCCAGTAAAGGTAAGTAATATAAAAATTTGTGAATTTTTTCTATCACTAAGATGTTTTTTTCCCCAAGATCTCATAGTTAGGACTTGAGATGTCCCTGAAAGGGACTGGTGACTTAGTCTTATCAGGGAGCAAATCTGAGGCCCCGGCTACGTCACCTGTGCCTAAGAAGACCAGGAAGTGGGAACCCAGTAAAGGAAAGTAATAGAAAAATGATTCAGTTTTATCCTTCACTATAGGATTATTTTACATCAGCATTCAGAGCCCCGTGCTGATGGGAAGTCTTGTGAAAGGGGGTAGAGGTCCGCTTTCAATGTACTTTCATATAGTACATAGGTCTGTCTTGGCTCCTGTAATCCTCTGTACATAAACATTCAGTCTGGGAGAGGAAGGAGCATCACTTTAAGCCAGTCAGAATTGATTCATTGCATAGTGCTGTGAATCTACAAATTGGTCCTTGGAATACTCTATAACTGGGCTTGTAAATGTGCCCTTGCATAATTGCATATGTGTTGTGACATGCACAGACTCTTAACATAGATTTTGTCTATCCCAATTCTATCATTTTCCCATATACAGTAACTCTTCTGTAATTGTTTTCACAGAGAAATCTCATTGGAGCGTGGAAGTACAGTCCACATTCTGAAGCCAGTGGATAAGAACTGGTTTTTGGGAGAACAAAATGGACGCAGAGGCATGTTTCCCGGGAGCTACGTCAAGGTCTGTTATCACACTCACTGCAGGCATCACTGATAGGTGTATTCTGGGCCTCATCAGTCAAAAGATCCCGAAACTGGCTGTGTTGCCGTTAGCAACTAATAAGGTTCCAGCTGTCATTGTAAAATGCAGGAGAACACGGACACTTTTACATTGGATACAAGGGCCCAGTAATGGTGTGCAAAGTTATATGTGTGAACATTTCGAGGCAACCCTGAGGAAGCCAGTAGGCACCAGCAGGGTGCCACGGCACCCTCGTTAAATAAGGCTGATATAGAGTGTAGTAAAATGTTGTTATGATCTTGTCATATTCTGTGTTTATAGAATAAAATATTTTATAATTGTTATTTAATTGTATTGCTGTCATGTTCAGTGGTCAGGTCACATTGGGTTGTTTAGTAATTTATGTCCATATAGAGTTTAATAGAATTGTATTATGATCATGTCATAGTCTATGTTTATAGATTACAGCAGCTTTTCTTAACCAGGGTTCCGTGGAATCCTGGGGTACCTCCAGATGTTGCTAAGGGTTCCTTCAGATGTAAGCAGTAGACACCACTAACACCAATGATCATGTTAGTTGTCTGTAAAGGGGGCAATCTTCCCACTGACCACCAATGTAAGGAGCATTCTTCCCACTGACCACCAATGTAAGGGGCATTTTTCCCACTGACCACCAATGTAAGGGGCATTCTTCCCACTGACCACCAATGTAAGGGACATTCTTCCCCCTGACTACCAATGTGAGGGGCATTTTTCCTACTGACCACCAATGTAAGGGGCATTCCTCCCACTGACCACCGAACTAGGAGTGCCCTTCTTTTATTGACCAGCAATGTGGGTTGGCTAATGTACAATGATCTGCAGCTTTAATAATTTTCAGTAGAGGTTCCCTGAGACATGCAACATTTTTCAATGGTTCCTTTATGGTAAAGAGGTTGAGGCTGGATTACAGTATTTTAGAACTGTAATTTAAATGTATTGTTATAATGTCCAGTGGTCAGGTCATGGTGAGTAGGACATTGTTTTGTGTCCATATCGAATGTAATAGAATTGTATTATGATCTTCATATATCCTGTGTTTATAGAATGGAGCATTCTAGAATTTTACTATAATTGTATCACCCAACGCCCACCACCTAACCCCTAGTGCCAAGCCCCTAAGCCGCTATAAAGGGAAGCCTTCACTCAACTGGGCTTAGGGGCTTCCATACCCACAGCCCCAATCAGATCATGTTTAGAAGTGCTGCAGATTCATTGACACACCTTTTAGATATTGTAATATATTATTTCACTGCATGTATGTACAGAGCACCACAAGCAATTTATAATCCAGTTTTCTATAGCTTATTGTCTTTCTATCCTATACCTAAACATTCGGCTAAGTGGGATTCTTATAGTATTAAGGCATCAGCCGTTATTTGCTTGTCCCTGCAGGTTATCTCCCCTGATCAGCACGATGGAGCCGACACTCCCCAGCTCTCAGCAATTGCTTTGTATGACTTCAAGGCTGACTCTGACGTAGAGCTCCCGCTACGTAAAGTAAGGGAATGTCAATGTTATTACACCCGAGTTAATATATGTCTCAGCCTCTCTCTCTCTGCAAACAAATACAATCCCTAGCAACGGCATTTCTCAAATGGCTATTTTCACACACTTGTAGAATTGTCACAGGTCAATCTGCCACGTAGGATCCGGGTGCCGGCTTTTCTTCCATCTATAGAATGATTTATTTGGATTGTTGTTTTTGGTGAATACACCTCCAAGTCAATCATATTTTGCAGCCGTCATAGCCCAGAGTTCCCTTTGTGATTTCATGAGACGCATGCAATTCTGGTACGTGACACAGAACCAAAGTATGGCAAGATGTCATTCAAAACTATGCTATTTATGGCGGGAAAAGATCCGGAGGAACTACATAAACCACATAACCCCGGCTTGGTGTTTGGGTTTATAGGAAGTTTAAAATGAGGCAGATGTTCAAATGAGTACCAAGCCCCTGCAGCCAGGCTGCTATGAGCCCAGTGCATGGTAGCTGATAACCACACGTGGAATCCTCCAATCATCTCTGAATTTGGGCTGACACTGTCCTTCCTTCTGGAGGGGGGCTACTTTTGTTCCCCATGGTCCCTGTATGTGCTGTAAAGTAGTCACCGCTCCAAGCTCACTCCTGCGATGGACTACAATCTCAATACAAATTAATAAACTAAACTTGAGATTGTAGTCCATCCCGGGAGAGAAATTGTAGCGGTGACTACTTCCCAACACACACAGGGACCATGGGGAACAAAAGTAGCCCCCCTCCAGAAGGAAGGACAGTGTCAGCACCAATTCAGAGATGATTTGAGGATCTACAGCCGAGTGATACACAAATAAGATACATTGTTGTTAATAGTTAAGGTTCTTGAATGTATTTTTAAGATTTAACTCCTGAGTTTACTGTCACTTTAAATCAGCAATACAGCCGGGTAACAAGCATTTTTAGTAGGGCTGCAACTAATGAATATTTTCATCATTGATTAGTTGGCCAATAATTTTTTCGATTAATCAGATAAAACAAATTAAATAAACACCATCCTTAATTTAAATAAAATACACAGATGCCGTGTTACAAACATAAAGTTTACTTCAGAATAAAACTACTAATTCTTTGCAATCGCACTGCACTGGAACGAATTGCATTGCGGTTCCAATGTTAGCAATCACATTGTGGGTGGGTGGTCTGCGCGTTTGGGGTGCCATTGAAATGAATGGCACTGCAACACACCTCCCGCAGCAGATTTTTTTCAGGCCGAAAACCAAAAATTTATTCCCCCCCCTTTATATACATTTTTTTCAATAATTGTATTGTAAGCACACAGCGCTGGAAAAGCTTCAGCCCAGGAATGACGGCTGCCAGTGGCAAGATCCCGCAGACGGCAGCTGAATGTAAATACAGCAGATGGTGGACTGGTGCAATAGTCAGCCTGCTATTGGCCATTTCAAATTGCAATAGCCAATAGCAGGCTGTCTATTGCACCCGCCCACTGCTTGCTGTGACCTCCTCCCAGCGTGGACGGGAAAGAGCTAGGGGATCCAACCAACAAATCGATAATGAGAATAGTTGACAACTATTCTCATAATCAATTAATCGATTGGTTTGTTGCAGCCCTCATTTTTAGAGGAAGAGGTCAGCACTGGCAACCTCTATTTCTCCCAGCGGGTTTATTTTACTACCTTCCTCTGAAGGAAGCCTCCTTACAGCATTATAGGGCAGTTGACCACCAAAAGTTGTCCATACCAAGCTCTGTGTCCTAGATTTTACATAGTTACATAGTTACATAGTATTTGAGGTTGAATAAAGACATATGTCCATCAAGTCCAACCCATTGTGTGTGTGTGTGGGTGTAAAGATCCTCGCGTCATCTCGTTTTTAGGAGTACTTGTACCCCTGTATATTACCGTTTCTCAGGAAATCGTCCAAAAGCCTCTTGAATGATTCCAGACTATTAGCTGAAATCACTGCTTGCGGCAGTGAGTTCCAGACCCTAACCGCGCGAACTGAGAAGAACCCCCTCTGCCCCTTGTGTTTGAATTTTTTTTCTACCAGTTTTAGGTGGTGTCCTCTAGTCTTTGTTACGGAATTTATCGTGAAGAGTTTATTGCTAATGTTGCTATGACTATGGAACATTTTGTATGTGAAAATCATGTCCCCCCTTAATCTCCTTAGTTCCAGCGTGAACAT